CATTGTCCGCTATAATATGATCATTGCAGGTATGGCAAGCCTTTGTAGGTGTTAAGGCTCGACGAGTGGAGAGATATTACGAGGATTTGCTGGCTCAAGAAACCTACGAGGATGATCAGCAAAGTAACTCATCTGGAGTGTTCAGAAAATGGAGAAGGCAGATTGAGAAGGTCATTAGATGCATGTGCCTTGGACTTTATCGTTCAATCTTTTCAATTCGTAGGTGCTACATCTTTTGCTTTATATTGTTCTTACGATTCTTCCTAGACTAACTTGTCTGTTTGTTTTACAGGATTTACCGCGGACTTTTCCAGGTCATCCTGCTTTGAATGATAATGGTAGGGATTCCTTGAGGCGTTTACTTTTAGCATATGCTCGACATAACCCCTCTGTTGGGTACTGTCAGGTAATTGTTGAATTAAAGTTCTTTCTCTGTAAATTTAGTTGAACTGGTACTACTGTGTTAGTATTATCTTAATTGATTCCTCGCTTTCAAACTTGCACCATAATATGGCAACTGCCTTCTCCTTTATCTGAATAAACCAACTTGTACTTCTCATAGTTGTCCATCTACGTCATAAGCTCTCTCTCTCTCAAGTTTTATTTGCACTCTTATATTCTTTAGAATCTATCTAAGAAACTTTTCTTTGGAAATTATTTAAAAATTTATCCAATTTTTTTATCATTTCCTTGGTTTCAGTGATGCTGTTGCTGTGTAAGTACAGCACAAAGAGGTCATAATTCTGTTGATTATAAAATTTTGGAACCTCACAGAACAACTCTAATGTTCTAAAACCATGATCTTATGTTACATTAGACTTTTTTCACCTCACAAGTGGATCAAATTGCAGAAAGGTTGTAAGCTTAAAGTGCAACTTGAAGGCTCGATAGTCCAGTAGGGCATTAATGGAAATTTTTATTTTAAAACACATGTCAGCAGTTTTTCGTTTGGATTCTCAGTTTATATTTGTTCTGAATGGATCTTAGTGACCACTCTCTACAAGTGATTAATTTTTTAATAATTATTACCCCTCGTTGCACTTACTATTTTCATTTAATTTGACATGAAAAATATGCAGGCAATGAATTTCTTTGCTGGATTGTTGCTACTTCTGATGCCAGAGGAAAATGCCTTTTGGTAGGTTCAGGTTAGCTATTTATAAAATGGTTGATTTCTGAAAGTATTTACTTCTATCCATAATATATTTTGTATAGTTTATCCTCGAATTGGTTTTGGGGTACACGGAACCTTTTTTGACCATCTTTTGTCCCAGTAAATTGTTGTGAAGAACGTTTTTGTACTTTTCCAAAAAAAGGAGTCTCTTTTCTAAGCATGGCTGCTGTATTCTCTTGTGCTAGTTTTTGTACAAAGGCATAAATGGTTACATGCATACTCATGATTCAAGAATAGCTAGGTCAGCTTTAAAGACTGATTTCTTTCGATGTATTCTCAGGACCTTGGTGGGCATTATTGATGATTATTTTGATGGGTACTATACGGAGGAAATGATAGAATCTCAGGTTTTTTAATTTGTTAAATTTCTTTTTTTTTTTTTGATAAAATTGCATGTTCTTCAGCAAATTTCTCTTGTTGCCTTGCAAGTTCAGTGCCTATCGTCATGTTCACCAACGTGCTGATCTTGGAGTATTTCTAAAGGGGTTTTGCCAATTTACAACTTATGACTCTCATTATTTCTATTTTCATAGGTTGACCAACTTGTATTTGAAGAGTTGATGCGTGAAAGATTTCCCAAATTGGGTTTGTTTGCTTTTCAACATTTTCTTTATTAATTATCTTCTTCTGCATTACATGAAATAATATGGGTAAATTTTTTTCATCTATGCCTCTTGTGCAGTCAATCATCTGGATTACTTGGGAGTGCAGGTGGCATGGATTTCTGGACCCTGGTTTCTTTCCATTTTTGTTAATATGCTTCCTTGGGAGAGCGGTAAGATTTAGAGTTAGTGACGCAAGTTAAATTTGTCTAATTATTTCACTCAAAACGCTTAGTTCTAAGCACTCTGCATTCTCTTTGTTAGAAATCATGTTTACCTAGTGATGGATTTCTTCATCTCAGTTCTTCGCATTTGGGATGTGCTTCTATTTGAAGGAAATCGTGTTATGCTATTTCGAACGGCCCTCGCTCTAATGGAATTATATGGTATTGAGATTTTATGTTTATAAAATTCGTGAAGCATTAAGTGTGGATGATGAATTCAAAAAGCAGTCTGGTTACATGAAGTTTACTGTAGGTCCTGCCTTAGTTACAACTAAAGATGCTGGGGATGCCATCACTTTGCTGCAATCCCTTGCTGGCTCAACATTTGACAGCAGCCAACTTGTTTTGACTGCCTGCATGGGGTTTTTGGCTGTGACTGATGCTAGATTACAAGACTTGAGAGATAAGCATAGGCCTGCTGTGCTAGCAATTGTTGAGGAAAGAACAAAAGGAGGTCGAGTTTGGAAAGATTCAAAAGGACTTGCATCGAAGCTGTACAGTTTCAAGCATGATCGTGGGTCACTGCTGGAAGAAACAAAGCCTGCTCAAGAGGTAGTTGATGGAGACATATCTAATTTGGAGACTCGTTCCTCAAATCTGGATGAATTGCTTTGTAGCCTAAATGCTGATTCAGAAGTGGATTCCCTACCAGATCTTCAAGAACAGGTAGTTTTCTTTGTTTGTCTTCTTAACACTTGTGCACTGCATTTCTAATATTTTAGGAAGCTATTCACCAATGATACCTGTCTTATATTTCATGGTCCACATGCTGCAGATTTTACATGCTTAATTTATTGACTACTAAGTTCCATGAGAAGTTGAGGTTTGCCTGCTTTTCTTTCACCTTATCAGCTTTAACCAAATGCTGGTTTGAGCTGCCCTTGTTCAGTGATGTGAATATAGAAAATTACATTTCAGATTCAAGAATTAGTATGGCTTCAGCACAATCTTGCATAACCTGGGTAAAACGATATTGATTTAGATCTTTGTTTGCATTTTGACGATCCACTAAACATCAATGGTGCTAGATAATGCAAATATAAGAACATTGACAGCAGGTATTTTAACTACAATGCATGAACTGTTGAATGTTGATATGATTGAACAAATAGCCTGTGGCTTCATCGTATGACTTAATAAAGGCTTGAAAATTCTCTGCTCTTATAACCAATCTCCTCAAGTTCTGCATTTTTAACCTAATAACCCTGAATGAGCTATAATTATACTCACTAAAACTTATTCTAGGTTTTCTAATAGTGTTTCACTTGTAATTAATTGGATTGAATGAATAATCACTGTGCAACTCCTTTTGAAATTTCAATCATTAACAGTTTATGTGCAGGTTGATTGGATGAAGGTTGAGCTATGTAGGTTGCTTGAGGAAAAAAGGGCTGCTATACTCCGGTTAGTATTCTACTGTCTGTGGTTTCTGATTTTTTTTCTCTCAAACTTCTGTTTCTACTTGCTCTGATTTATTCAATGATGGTAAAATAATAAAGCATCATGTCTGCCAGTTATCTCATCATTTCAGGGGAGTTGCTTCATTCAAGACAGCTATAGTGAAAGTGCATCTCCTGAAACTATAGATAGCAATCTATTTCAGAGTTAGGAATGAATCCAATATGACCATTTTCCTGTTTTCTTGAGATGAATTATTTCTGATTTTGTCAAAGTGCTTCTATAACCTATCATTTTACCTGTAACCATGGTTCCTGTTCTTTTCCAGAGCTGAGGAGCTAGAGACAGCGCTTGTGGAGATGGTCAAAGAAGATAACCGACGGCAATTGAGTGCAAAGGTATATGTAAATTTATTTGTACGAATATGTTATATGTGCCCAACATATCATTTGGTCAATGGTAATACTTCTCCTACTGCTATGTAAGCTTTGGGTTACTCAAGTTGCTTGCAGGATTTGAAGTTTGTTAATAATGCTGCAGATTGAACAGTTAGAGCAAGAGGTGGCTGATCTACAGCAAGCCCTTGCTGATAAGAAAGAACAAGAAGTTGCTATGCTTAAGGTTAAAATTTGGCCTCTCGTTTCTCTAATGCATTTTTTTGGCACTATGGCTTAATGCTTATTCTATTATGAGTCCTCTAGTGATTTTTCGGTTCTATGTGCTACAGGTTTTGATGCGGCTAGAGCAAGAGCAAAGGATAACTGAAGATGCTCGCAGAAACACAGAGCAAGATGCAGCTGCCCAGAGATATGCAGTTACAGTGCTTCAGGTTCTTTTCTGTTCTTGATGCCCTAGATATGACGGAAATGTTAAACTATAGATTTTATATTGTTCTTCTTATGTGATTGAATGAGAAGTTCAAAGATATTTGGGTATACACCAAAGAGGACTACTCATTCTGTTTTTCATATATGTTTGATGCTAGATGACATATTGTTGTGATGTGAGTCCTATCAAGAAACTTAAGCTACTGAGAGGCAATTTGTTCAGATAACAACTTCATGGCTTGGTTAAGCTGTCAAATAGTTATGCATTTCCCCACATTATCCTCAACATTCTTCAATTACATTATATGTCTTATATGTTTTTCTGTAAAGTAGGCAAAAGATGATTGCAGAATTTAAAACTTGAATGCTTAACTATTTGGAAATTATTTTATACATTTATCTTTTGATATGTTGTACTCCCCTCAACTGTCTCAAGCCTTTTACCACAAGAATTGAGATTTGTTCTTTTCTTGTAATTTGTGAATTGTGCAGTTCCTTATGAAGGTGCCTCATAGCTGATTGTTACTTCCTTTTCTGTGCTCTGATTGATTGTGAGATCCCATGAGTAGTGTGTATTTATCTTTCCTTCTTTCTTTTGTGACTATGTTGATTCTCATATAAAGATACATTTGCAGGAAAAATATGAGAAGGCTTTGGCTTCTATTGCTCAGATGGAGAAGAGGGTGGTTATGGCAGAATCAATGTTGGAGGCTACCTTGCAATATCAATCTGGCCAAGCTAAAGCGCTATCTTCGCCAAGGTAAGAAATGTTTTAAGCCTCACTCATCTCCATTTCTATATCCATACGTATTCAAAATGTTCTGATAAATTTTCATTCAGCTTGATGCTGACGAAGAAAACTACGGGCCAAAAAGCAAATAGCATAGGTTCCTTGATCCAACTATCCAAGAAAACTAAAATCAAATGTTATTCTAACCCTTAAGTTAATGTCCCTAAGTGAAATTTGAGAAGAGAAACTGCTAATACATATGCAAGCTTCATGCGACACCATTTTCAACTTTGCCTTGCAAAACAAGCATTCATGCACTAATATCTGTTCTCTAAGCAGTCCAATGGTTAGTAGACCAACAAATGACAGAGGAATAGGAAGTGATGTAGAACCACACCTTTATGGCATTACCAGGGTTTTACTGAATATTGAGGAGTTCCGTTCTTATCATAACTAAGGTTGGATGTTTATAGCTGTATATTCTTAATTTTGTTCTTTCGGTCAAATTTTGGACTTTGTCATTCTCTCTTTCTTCACTCTTTCTGTAAGAAAAATCTGATTCAATGTGTGTGTGTGTGTGTATAGATATTCATGTCTGATGGAACTGATTCAGTATTCAGTCATTTGGTATCTGATTGAGAATAACAAAATAAAGTATTTATAGTTACATGTTCTCATAAATAGGCAATTCTGCAATTAATCATAAACATAATTAAAACCGTTCTGCATTAGAAGGTTCAATGTTTTCAAATTTGGAGAAGAAACAAAGGCTATGCATCATTAAATTGCAGAACTTAGTACAAGGTCTCTTTGTTATTATAAAATTCCATTCTACGGAACAGGTGGAAAATGATTTTAAGGGAATAATCCTTTCTTTTCTATTTAAAAGTTTTCATCAAACAATTAATTTTTGCCGTTAATTTTTAAAATATGAACTGTTGTCCACTTGTATTCTCATGTAATGAAATAAAAAAACTGCATTCCTGGCAGGAATAAGATTGTAAACCGTTTGCAAATTATATTTGAAAACAGTAATCTTTTATGGCTGAGATCTCAATGACATTCAACTCTCTACTCAAAAGCAGGACAATGCTTTGGTGCAAGATATTGTTTATGCATGTTATGAATTACATCTGCTTAGTGGATATTTTTCCACAAGTGGCCAGATCCTCATAGTTTGTCTTAAGAAAGATAGCATGGTTTTGTAGGGCTCAGCGTAATCAGGCCTCCACACAGGACAGTCCCAGAAGAAAGGCAGGCATATTGTCATTCGGACTTGGCTGGCGTGACAAGAACAAGGTAAAAGTATGCATTGTCGTGTTTGGGTAGGTGTTACTGCAGATGACGCAGTGGCTTGTTGGTCCTTATATAGATGAAATAGATGAAATATTTTATTGAACTGTTTTGGAGCATTAACTGCACATTGTGAAATATCAATCTATATCCTTTAAATAAAGTTTATGGTGCTGCAAATATCTTGAGGTTTTTTGAGTTTTAGAGTTTAGAAAATGCTGCATACCTATTTTCTTTGCCTTTATTTGAAGCTTGTAAACTTGGATTTGATATGGCAGGGCAAACCCAATTTTGAGGAGTCTACAGACAGTAAATCCCCGGAGGAAACAAACACCCAAGACCAAGAGAAGAACTAGCCCTGGTGCCATATAATTCTTTCAATTTGTGCCTCCACTGCCAAGAAGGCACTTCTCTGCATCTGTTCTGATATTTAATAGCTCTGTTTCCTTATCTGTAGTTATGAGTATACTGGCAATTAATTAATGGTAAGAGAGGGGTCTATTTGTATAAAGTATCAATTTGAACCCAAGTAGACTTGTAGAAGTCAGATTAATTTGACTTTAATCAAATGTGTAGCAGCACATTATACATTAATCAGTAAACAAAGATTTTTATTTTAATTTCCACAATTTTTGAACCATTGAATTACTTGATTCTATCATTTCTATATCTTTCATGCATTCAGTGTATAGCATGATTGTACAAGAAAATATCACTGCCTGATAAGAAAGCATCTGATTATATTATGAATATGAGTGAAATTTCATGTAAATAGGGAAACAGCTGCTACAAATATCTCCTAACAACAAACGCAATAGCTTATAAAAATGTGCCTTTGGTTTGTAAGAATTAAGCAAAATTTGGTAACAAGGCATGTTATGTAATGCAGGCAGTATGCGTTCAGCCTAGCCCTGTGATTTCATTTACATTAAAAGATGCCACAACTCATAACATCATCAATACCAGCATCTATCAAAAGTTGGCAGATCCCAGAAAAGCCTCTAATGAGCGTACAGAATCCAAGCAAGTATCAACTTAACCTTCTTGTTCGATCCCTTTCAGACCCACTGCCACCGTTGGGCTTCTTATCTCTGTCTCTCTTCGTCCGTGGAGGAGTTCCAGGGGCCAAGCGGGAACCCTGCACTGATTGTATATCTGGTTCAAACTTTTGAGAAGCAAGGTAAGTCAAAGCTGTGACTACATCAGCAATGAGAGGTCGCATATTTGGCTGCTCCTGAACACACATTGCAGCCACTGCAAGTGCTTGGAATAAGCCTCTTGGAGGATACTGCCCTTGGAGCATTGGATCGGCCATTTGAGAGAACTTTTTTCGGTCTTTGAATAATGGCTTTGCCTGCAACAAAGGTCAGGACAGAAGTGAAACGTTTGCAACCTGACAGAAAATCACTATTTTTTAGCTTTTATCCATAACTTTTTCTTGTTCTTGTCGCACTCCTCATCAATATGTGAAATAGCTAATGTACTTTAAGGTTGAAGACTAATTACAACAAAATTGGAAGCAAGCCAAAGATTTAGATACACTGTTATCTGTTTCTTACCCATGCTACTAGATTCTGTTCCCCCGCAGCTTTTGAATTGTCAATTGCTTTCCTGCCGGTTATGATTTCCAGAAGAACAACCCCAAAGCTATAAACATCTGATTTCAGAGTTAGTTGACCAGTCATTGCATACTCTGGGGCACAGTATCCATAGGTGCCCATAACCCTTGTGGATACATGGGTGTCATCGCCAACAGGCCCAAGTTTGGCCAAGCCAAAATCAGATAGCTTAGGAAAATATCCTTCACCAAGTAAAATGTTGGAGCATTTCAAATCTCGGTATATAACAGGGGGGCTGGCTTTGTCATGTAAATACTCCAACCCTTTCGCAGCCCCAGCAGCTATTTTCATTCTTGTATTCCAGTCCAGCCTTTTCTTACCAGGTGAAATGTCTGCAAATATTAAGCATAAGAAATCATCCTCCTGTTAGAGCAAATGCAAAACAGAGAAAAAATTCAGTGACAAATAACAAAACATGAGTTAATGCAATGCATACCATGTAAATGATCTTCCAGAGATCCTAAGGGCATATATTCATAAACCAGAAGCCTTTGATCTCCATCAGCACAATACCCAGTAAGATTAACAAGGTTAGGATGGTGAAGTAGGCTAAGCATTAAAACTTCAACAAGAAATTCCCTGTTCCCTTGCAACCCATTACGATCAAGTTGCTTTATAGCGACGACCTACACCCATCAAGAAATCAAGATTCAATTTCCACCTTAGGCAAAAGCAAGCCTTCATTTAACTTGTGTAAGCAGTTAACTTTGTTTCAGGTTTTTCACTTTACAACTAACCTGATTTGTACTCTCCAGACGCCCTTTGTACACTCTACCAAAACCTCCTTCTCCCAAAAGGCATTCAGCTCTAAAATTCTTAGTTGCTGTCGCCAATTCACGAAATGTAAAAATCTGTGCAGCAATATGTTCACCCCCTCTGCTTCTAGATGTCTCCCCACTTGACGAGGAATCTGTTTGCAATTTGTGTGAACAAATAAAAGATGACGAAAATGTTGGCAAACAACCAATAATTGTTTGCATTTGATTCTAGAGGAGAAAAACCAAGGCACAACAAGGAAACCACATAACAAAATAGGAATGCAAACGAAAAACACCAAGAACACACTGAGCTGGATTTTGCCAAGACATGCGCTAAAGACTGATCCATCATCATACCACAACTTCACCTCACAAAATCCATCATATTGCTCACAAAATCTTCAAGGCATATGCAACATATATGAGGTGTATCCAAAATCCCATCTGAGCAAGGATTTTGCTACTTTGTCCATCACTTGAAATTAACAGACAAAATGAAGGAAAAAGAAAAAGGGTCAAGGCTAGCAAAGAGTTACAAATAAAGAGGAAAGAAAATAATCAGTGACAGAGTGCAACACTTTCATTATGTACTCTTATGAGTTTAAGATGATTGCACAGAAGGTTGTCACCTAAAAATACTAATACTTTACATTAAAAAGAACAAAATTAGACAGAATCCAAAACTATAAGTAAAATCCATATGCAGTCTAGCTTGCAAAACAGAAGCAGTACCTTTAATTACCTCATACCTACCGATATGCATGCAAAGAAATTACCTTGTAAGCTACTGATAAGCAAACTGAATAAAGGAAAAAATAAACAATTGATCAAGCAATCAAGTCCTCTAATTTTTTTTCCTTTCCCCTTCTAAGTATACAAGATATTGATCCAAAATCTATCTGAACATCCAAAACAAACCTGAATTACCTAACAACTGATCAACTTGCATAAAATCCAGATAAAGAACACAAGTATTTAATTTCAAAAACCAATAAAGCACATAAAAACCATACTATTAGTTAATCAACATAACAGCATAAAGACATCTTTCTGCCACAGTAACATAAAAAGAAAAAAAAAAGGTCATACATTTATTAACTTTTATATAATATAAAAAAGCATTACCTGAAGAAGGTTTGATTTGATCAAGTGGCAGCTGCTCCATCTTTTTGTTCTTCTTAGACTTATTAGCTTTGGTATTTGATTTGCCAGAACAAGGAAGCCACCCCATGATTCTTCTTCCTTGCTTCTTTCTCTCCTCTTTCACTTCAAAAAAAAAAAAAAAAACCTTTACTGCTATCAAAACATTAAAACAACATCAACCCATTTCTTGAACAACCTTAATATCACTTAAAACAAAGAAACTTTGATGCAGATTTCACAAGTTTTTATTACAAAAGAGCCCAACGTTTTTGTTTCTCAGTAACGTTTACGTTTTTTTCTTATTTCTTTTACTCCTAGAATTACGTGATTAGCTTAAACATTTTTAATTTTGGACCACTTATTAGAGATACGGTGTCGTTTTAGGTGCGTGGAACTGGAGTCAGCACAGATGGTCCTCGAACGTGGGTCCCATTAACGGGATTCAATGTTATCTTCTTGCAATTGAAAAAGAATAAAAGATAAATTTCCTAACCGTCCGATCTGATTAAATAATAAAATAAGACCGGCTTGGGGAACGAAATTGACGGAGGTGATTGAAATTTGCACGTGGACTTTGGTCCATGGAAAAAGGTTTTCATACTACAATTAATTTTCCCTCCCTAGGTAAAACTTTTACTTGGCTCTAAATTTGACAGCTGGTCACGAAACCATCATGTAGCCATATTTGAACTACTTAGTGAAACGTTAAAATGACAAAGAAGAAACAGTTAATTTTCTATAAATTAATACTTTTGATATTATGAAATTTATTAATTAATTAAAATATTATTTAATTGATAAATTAATAATTTATTAATTTACATATCAATTAATAAAAAATTAATTTATTCAAATATTTTTTATTTTTTAAAATATTAAACTTAATATATATACATATATTGTGCATAGCTTCTTTTTTAGTAGGAAAACACTATATTAAATTTTTTTATATATTAAAAAAAGTTAAATATAAAATCTAAAGATATATCAATTTAGGTCTTTAACATAAATATTTTTTTGATTTAAACTATCTTCACGAATTCATAATTTTAATAAAAATATATATTTATTAAATAAAAAAAGATATGTATTTATAAACTTAAAATCTTATTTCAACGAAGTGTTGAATATTTACTTATGAAAGAAAATTATTAGTAAAACCTAGTAAGTTAAGTCGTGTTTGTTTTTAATCAAAGATAAATTATCGGTTGATGGCACATCAAAGACAACAACATGCTAACAACGACCCATCTTTTTTTTTATTAAACTAAACAACCGGTTAAATATTTGGTCTCAAAATCAACAAAATCAATATTTACGTGACAATCACGGATATTAAGTGTGATCTTTTTGCGTAAAATAAACATAAACAAAGAGACGTGGTCAAGATTTTTCCAAGAGTCTAGAAAATTTTGATCATGACCTTGGTAACAAAACGAGTGAAATTAACAATAGTCTATTGCCAAGTCCACATCTTGGACCCCCAATAGGAAATCACTGTCATTCATGTGCAAAACAAATGACGTTTAGCTAGTGCATTTCAATCTCAAACTAATGAATTTTTTTTTTTTGCAATATTTTAAATAAATATATGAATTTAGTATAATTAAAGTATGTATTCTTTTTTTTTTTGAAATGAATTTTATGTGTATGTATACGGATTAAATACTTATAATATCTCATGTAAAGTAAACTTTGTTATTATTGTTATTATTATAAAATTGATATTGAGAAAACCTTGGTAGTATAAAATGTATAGTATGGATTAATAATTAGTAAAACTTCATTTGCTGTTTGATTGCACCTTTGCTTGGGGAATATCAATTGGGTCTCACCAGGTGATGCTCCCTCATTCTTTGATTCATGGATAAATTACACTATTCCTGCCAATCAAAAGAATGCTCGAGAAATGCCTTTTTTATGCAAATCTGTAGACATTGTGTTTTTTATTTTTAATTAAAAGAAGAAGATTCAAACTCTTTTTTTAAAATAAAAAATTATAATTAATTAATAAATCAAATACCTAAATGCTGTGAACATTGTAAATTATATTCAGGGGCAAGAAATTTGTTGCTAAACAAATTGTAGAAATTACTCTCATCGGGCTCTGGCTATGGTGCAAAGGAAGCTGACAGATGGGGGCACATCCCGCTAGCATTTGTCTCATTACTGCCAGTACCAAAACGAGTAAAACTTCCAAGCATAGGAAACAACCGCTTGGAAAGTTGGAATCCCTCCCTCCCTCCCTACCCCACCTCCACTCCCGCCAAGCTCCCTCAAACTTATTGCAGACGGTGCGCCAAAGGGAAGCCAGGACCAATCGGCATCGGGGGTGTTTTGAGGGACCATCTTGGCTTCATAAAAGGTACATTCTCCAACCACATAGGCATTGAAGAGTCAAACTATGCTGAATTTCAAGCCATTCAGGAAGGAATCAGATTTTTCTCTTACTATGAGCCACATCCCATGTCCTGGAAGTGGAAAGTTATTCATCGAATGCCATCAGCTGGACTAATGACCACAACAATGAAAACTATCTCCAATGCCTTTGAAGCCGGCCAATTCGTGTAGCTGCTCTGGAATTTCGTTTAAACATGTCCTACGTGAAGCCAACACACTGGCAGATGGATTGGACAAAGTGGGTGTGACAAGGACCAATAATTTTTGTGCTTACTTCAGGAACTTAACGCAAGGATGAAGCTACTGACCCCCTCCCGTGATCTTTTCTGGTTTTGGTGTGCTGAGCATTTTACCTAAGTTGTCGTAGTTCATTGCCTTTAAGTCTAGATAGTTTCTTGACTTTGTGACTGAGTGTTATTAGGCACATCAGGACTCTCCGGACACTGCCCGTCCCTATGTGGTGGACTTTTTTTATCTTTTTTGCAAGTCACTATGTGACTCTCTGTTTGTCTCCATTGAGAGACATCCTTCAGCAATAAAATATCAGCCTTTCAAAAAAAAAAAAAGAAAAATAATTAGTAAAACTTACTTCGAAGCTTTTGGATATGACTTTTTCTTGTTATCTCTTTGTAAAATTTGGGTTATTGTTTAGTTCCCTTTCTTGTTTCTGCCAACGGTTTCTTATCGTCTTGTAAAAGACGTATTGGTTAAACCCTGCCATGGTCATGCCGATGGGACGTTTCCACCAATGACCGCCGCAGCCTCCACCGCCACTTTTCACTTTTTAGCCCAAGAAAGAAATGTCCGAATGAGGGTTGGTCTGCTTAGCAAAAGATTTGGTTTCTGATTATTTATTTCCATTTCAATATTTTCTGTTGTGTATGTATAATCTGCAACATGGGATGCTGATGTTATCTCTCTCAGTTGCTTAAGAAGGTTTCAGGAGCATAGTAACAGAAGAACATTACTCCCAACTTTTAAGTGAAAGAAAGAGAAAATGCTAGCAAGGTAGAGGACCTAGCCTTTTTCAGGGTATGCAAATAAAGAAAGGTGATGGAGTATGAGCTGACACCATTTTCCTCTTTCGCCAAGTAAGAGACATACGTGTTATAAAAGAAATTTTAGTCAAGTCAATGCAGAAGTAACCTAGCAAAATAATATGTCAATGCACAAGTAATTTGTATCAAAATTCTGCAGACATGTAAAGAAGTAGAGGCAGCAAAGAGTTCCAAGAGGACTTTGATGCCTTCTCTGTGAGATAGCAACATAATCCACAGACATTCTTGGCATAATTGCCAGAAGTTAGGATTGATCACTTAAGTAACAAAGACCTAAAGCTGCCCTGAAGTTGTTACAAGATCTCTAGAAACCTGAAACAAAACAGTGCTGATATATAACATATTAGATGTGCAGTTATTACTTATTATCTCATGGACGAAACAATTAATTTAAGAAAGAATGCAATAAGTTTAAGGCAGGCGGCATTAGAAGAAGATGAGGATCCGTGATGTCCTCCCTCTAATTTGAATTACCGACAGAAAACTGCCTTCATAGCTAAAATTCACAAGAAGGTGGCATGGTAAATGTAGCAGAAAGTCATATGTTGTGAGCTTCACAGTCACTTTTGGTCTTTGGTTCGGATGGCCTTGAGTCCGGCGAGCCTTTATCAAGACCAAATATCAAGTTGGAGACTATACCTTCTTTCGGTTGCTATCATCGCTTGCCTTTACTAGCAGCTGAATTAGAATCTGGATCAGAGGCCACAGGATTTGTGTTCCTAAGTGGCATCTCGTGGTTATGTTTACCTTCATACGTTGTGATGAAAGCTCTTGGATCATCCGATGCTCTTTCCACATGCTTGCGCACATTGCACTTAAGACTCGTGCATCTATAGTAACTTCTGCAAGACAAATTACCAAAAGTAGTAAGAAAACAAGGCTATAAAACTACATGATCGGCGGATGATGCATATATAGTACGTGTATCTTGTAAGTATTATAGAGGCTGCATCTATTTTGGACGATGAAGAGGTTGTGATCGCATGTTCCAAAAGAGAAGGAACTGCTTGCAAAAGTGTTTGGCTATCACCAACCAACAATACCATGATTCAAGCGGTAGAGTGAAAATAAAGTCACTCAAAGTAGGAAGGACCTAAGGGATTTGATACTGGCACCACATTAAGCCTAAAGGAGGTCCTATCAGCTATGAATTATGATGTGTCTCTTGAACAAGTTGAATTTTAACCTGGGATAAGGATTTCCCTTCACCACCTTCTGCCCATACTTTCTCCACCGAAAGCCATCTCCCATAATCTCAGAATCTGTACAACTTTGCACTACAACACGAGGTTCCTGGATGCCTTCCCCTGAGGTGCCCACTTCACTGGATTGATTCTCACCTTTCCTGAAGAAAACAGATCATAATTCAACACAATTTGAATTAGCTAAATGCTTCCGATTAAGGAATTGTATGTGATTTCAAACTGCTTTGTGTGGCAAATTTTCAAAGACCAAAAATCCTTATCATCTCAATTTCTTACCTTCTTTTACTCCTGGGCTCATCATCTTCTCCCTCCTTGCTTTGTTCCTCACATTCCCCACTAAGACCAATGGAATTCTCTGAAGTTACACCAGCATTAACAGCTCCAGTAGAAACATGCTCATAAGATAGCACAGCTTTCCCTTGATAAGATGGGGGAGCAGACAATCCGACTTCATTCTGATTTTCAACTCTACCGTCAGAACCTTCATTCCTTTCGTTAGGATTATTGCTCCACAATGAGTTGTTGGTATCTTGACCAGTCCCATCAGAAGCAGAGCCTAAACCTTGGGTCCCTGACGAATTTCGCTTGGGAGGCTGAGGCTTTGAATGGTTGTGTTCACCCTTGTAGACAATTTCAGCTATTTGACCATCAAATG